TCTTGAACTCTTCTCTCATTAGGACCCAGAAGAAGGGAGGACTGAGGAGTCGAGGCGCAGAAACGCCGCTCGTCCTCCACCCCTGGAATCGACACAGAAGTCATGTGCTGCGCGGCTGAACCCCAGCTCCAGCTGGGCATAATAAAGAGGCTGCAAAAACAAAGCAGCCCCCACCACAGCCCTAAAAAAAAAAAGGTCGCCCTCTAATTAATACTCTTGGCAAAGTGTCCCTTCGTGAGAAATTACAGTGATATATATGTGCTGCAACCAACATCCCCAAGCCAGGAGTGCAGTCACATATGAGCGCCCTGGCAGAGCTGGGGCAAATGTGTGGGGGGGGGGGGGGCATTAGGACGATCCCGGGGGCCCTAAAGAAATTTGTAACATAATTGGATTGGTCTGGATTGTGGGTCCAATATGATATACTTTCATGGGGCCCAAAATCTCTAGTGCCCCCCCCCCTGCCTGTCACATCTCATTTCTGTCCACGGGAGTTGGGTGGCTTGTGAAAAGTCAGAAGGCGAAAAGAGGGCTGGGGAGGAGATGGGGAGGCAGGCATGAGGGAGCAGAATGTGAGAAAAAGAAACAACATCGCCTGGATCATAGAAGATGCAACGTGTCAAATGATCAAGGAAGGAGCAGAAGAGATTCCTGTTATATCAGAGACACTGTGTTATGATGCTCAAGTCAAGAAACACCTCTAGTAACTCAGCCATCCATTTTCTAACTACTCTTTCTGGTCAGGGTCAGGGGGCCTGTAGCCTATCCCAAGCAAAGAGAGCACACAGCTACGGAACTGCCTGGATGAGATGCCAGTCCATCCAATACATGCATACTACAAAGGGGAGCTCAGGGTTGGTTTGAATCCCACCCCTGGCTCTGTCTGTGCAATATTCATTTTTATATAGCGCCTTTCACACTAAGACACTTTACATGGATGTGTTGTAATACATCACTACGTCATTAATACAGAATAATTCAAAAACAGGGAAAAGGGAAGACAAAAAATATGAAAGAAAGGAACAACAGACAACAACGGAGAAGAGGACCCAAGAACTTCCAAGTAGGGAGAAAAAAAAACCTCTGTATGTAGGTGAGAGTGTCCCCTGTAATGGGCTGGCATCCTGCCAAAGGTGCCTACTGCCTTGTTCCCTGGGATAGACTCCAGGCCCCACAGTGACCCTGTACTGCATAAGATGGATGGAAGACTGATGGATGTATTCAAAAGGAATAACAGTTATTCATTCCCCTTGAAGGTCTAAAGTGGTCATCAGAATGAAGGTCCAGCCCTAACTTTGGATCCGGTTATGCTACGTATGGATTTTTGAAAGTGTATTCTGAATGCTAACTGCTGACATTAATGGGGGGAAGGGGTGGGGTGGGCAATGTGAATTAGTGGGCTGTCAGACAATAAGCAAAAGAACAAGGGGGAATGTCAAAAAAGTGTTTGTCATCAACGTCAAATGGAATGAATGTCCCAAATTTAAACAGAGTCAAATGACCCCTGGGGTTGATCTAGCTGGAGGATTGTGGGCTGACTGGGGTGCCAAGGCTCTGGGGCTTAATTGCTCTTGATCACAGCTGACCACCAGTGCATGAAGTGTGAGGACCATGTGACTCTCAGCCCCCCCCACATCCCTGTCAACTTTAACTCCAGCTGATCAGGTCATGGGCCGTTGGCCGCTTACCGGCACCGTGAAATTCGCGTCCCGCTCAGAGAACAATAGTACAAGGTAGCCAACCTATGCCCCTTCACCAGACAAAAGAAAAGAAACACTCATCCTAGCGTCTTCAAAAAGGGGAGCTTTCGTGGGACATGGCATTCCAGCGAATACTACATACCCATGGCCACCTTCTACAGGAAGATTTTAATGGTGTAATGACACAGTATCATGGTGGGAGAACGTCAATCGATCACGAATTCCAATCAAGAATTCCAGGATCAGTCCAAAGGCTGAAATGAATTGTGTGTGGAATTAATGGATGACCTGTATCACTGAAATTACTATTGATATAGATACTATCTGTAAAGTTAGCAGCTAGTGTAGTTGCCCATTGCTGGCTGGGAGGTTTTTGCATCCATTTATGGTCTTGGCAGTTGTGGAATCACTTTTACATTATAATTGTATGAGTACACATCGAAACAGTAGTTATAATAATGCTGTTATACTAAAACAATTTCAAAGGCATTCATTGTCTTCTGGTGTTTATATCACACATTGTCAGTTGTTAACAACTTAATAAATTGATTATAATGCTAATGTCTGCCTTTGGTAATGAGTCTTTGGCTCTCTGATGCTTGCCTGCCTTCTGTCTAGGCATGGTAGAGCTTAGGATCTTCCAGCAGGTCCTGTCCAGGGGTGAGGCTCGTCCTGTCTATTTGTCTTCTGTCAGGCAGGTGCCAGCGTGTGGTCAAGGCAACTACAGTGCCCCCGCACCGAGCAACATCGGTGCCCAATATGTGCCCGATGGTGAGGATTCCACCAGATGCGTCCCCTGTTCTCTAGTGTGAAACCACTGCAGTTCCCAGTGGCTTCCAGATCTGACTCCAGCTGGATCATCTAAGCCTGAATCATTTGCAGAAGAGAATGTTTTAGAGAATAGGGGGCTTGCATCCCCAAACACAGCAGTGGTTACGCAGAGGCAGAACAAAATAGCCTTATTATTATGCCTCATAGCGATTTTTTTTCCTGGTTCTCTGGTCACCTCGTTCCCATATCAAGGTGAAGCTTTTCCCAGTGCTGGCCTGTCCAGGCCTGAGGAGCCAATGAGAATAGACTGTGGGAAATGTGGATCAGGTTAAAACGTGTCCCAGATTACTTACTCAACTCTCGTATTTAAGAAATGATGAGAAATGTTCTAAAAAATCATTGTCCAAAAATCTTTGAGAGAAGAATCTTCAGAATACACATACTTACCTAGTCACTGTGAAACCTGCTAAGGGGTCATACCACAAAGGAGTATTTTATAACAAGCAAACCCACACAGGAGGAAAACACTGCAGCATTACAAAAGTTGCCCTTATATGTAACATATTTACAGCTTGGCAAACCCAGTGCTGAGGCTGAGGTCCTCAAGGAGGACCATCGGCACTGGGATGTGACTCTCAGGTTCCTCTGGACAGACCAGCAGAAAGGTAAAAAAAGAGTCCTCTGGTCTCTGGGAGCTTCTCCAGGTGACCAGAGAGACCAGCAGGAATCATGTTATGTACGACTGACAAAGGGAAGCGAAACAGAGCGCAGAGGAGATTGGTCTACAGCCACCCACATGCTGATTTGCATCTTGGTCAGAGACCCTTGTGTTGGCATCCAAATGAAAGCTCATACTACATTTCCCATGGTGCTATGCATGATCTCTGTGTGACCCTTATTCTACCAATTAGACCAAGAGACATCTAGTAGGTCCAGAAGACACCATACAGTACAGTCAAAAAACAATCCCCTTTAAAAGCCAGGTGCAAACTAAGCAGGATCTGGTACGGATGGGCACGGTGAGTCATCTGACAGGTAGAGAGATCTAATTCGGGCAGCTTGACAGTGATGTTCTCTATAGACCTCAGCTGATGGGAGAGACCGGGGGCACCAGTGGTTTCCATCACATGACGAGTGATATACAAACACTAATACCAGGAAATAAACAGTGCCAACTTGACACGGGACCAGGCTTCCCAATCATGCCCGAAGCAACACGGCGTGGTGCTGCGGATGAAGAAATTTAGTATTGAGGTATCACCCCGCTCAAGAGTTTTTGACACATGACCCCCCCCCCCAAAAAAAATAAGTAGAAGATAAGGAGCATTAGAGAATTTGTGCAGTCAAAAACTTATTTTTGCAAGAAAGGAGGAAATATTATAATCTAAGACTCACCAAATGAGACAGAAGGCTGAAACAGCTTCTCAAAGTTTTCTTCAACCTGATGGAGTTAGTTTTGGTGCAGTTATTTTTCCTCTCAGTGAAGGTAAAGGTCAATAAACCGTAAGTTGGAGGTAGATGGCATGGATGTCAGGTGGAGAGTCCTTTCAGTCACCTGCCCCTAACTGCCAATGAGATATTAGAGTCCTTTCAGTCACCTGCCCCTAACTGCCAATGAGATATTAGAGTCCTTTCAGTCACCTGCCCCTAACTGCCAATGAGATATTAGAGTGTTTTCTATCATCCTGCACCCAGTTGTAGATCCTTCCCAGTCATTCCTGCTCCCATTGCCTGCATTTCCCAGCTGCTGATTCCAAATCGACAGCATGTTCCTATTATCCCTCTCCAACGTTTCTTAAACCCAAAGAAAATCACCATTCCATCCTCCCATCTCACAGGGACCTGTTCGGTCTTCCTTCCAAAGAAAGTCTCATGAGCTTTAACATCTTCAAGGCATAAATTGTAGCCCTTCCTTCTACTGTCACTTGAATGAGTTAAATATAATGACACAACAAGAGATGCCATATGAATACATCATGTTATTTTCAAAGTGAAACTGAAATCTTCACACAAAGAAGTACTCTGCTGCTTTAAACGAAAGAGTTAAACATACATGCAATCTCAATATGCTGTGCAATTACATCTGAGAGACAAGGACAAACAGAACAGCCTATTTAAACACAGTGGGGGGAGGGGCGGGTGGGCATCATTTACTGGCACAAAACGCAAGAGGTGAGTTATTGAGACGTCAAATCATCCAAGGCTCACTGGCTAGCCGACAGGGCAGTAATACAATTATTCATAAAACTTCCCAATTTAGAACGTGTTAAAACATGAGAAATAAAAGCAAGTGTGTAAATGACTCGATTTGTACGAATGCCCACTGACCCTCGGGCTGGAATACGGGCGCGTTTGAGAGGCAGACTAGCGATCGCATGTGGACAGACATGTGTGACTGCGGGATTTCTGCCGACTGTGTGAATTAGCCAGGTGTCAACATCTGAGACCAGAGATCACCAGCTGCTGAGGAGAAGCTGTTCCTTAAGTCAAGTTCCTTTTCTTTCCTGCCTCCCTCCCCAATCCACCCAGTGACAGTGAATCACACGGGCGCTCCTCACCCGTCAGACAAAACAGCGTCCCGTCTGTGATTTGTGAGTGCTGGCCCACGTACATCAGGAGTAATTAAAGAAGCTTTGGGTCCAGGGAGAAGATGGGCCGGGGACCGCTCTGGGTTTGAGGAGGAGAAACCATGATGACCAAGCCCAACCCCACCCACACGTTACCTGTCTGGACTCAAGGTGAGCCGTGCAAAACGACGGCGTGACTTTGCCGAGTCCTCCTGACAGTTACCGAATGGCGCCGCCCTCAATGCCCCTCCCCCGATCGGGTTTCAGGCGCCGTGCGAGCGTTACATAATGTCGGCGTCTCTCGTCTGGTGCTTTGAGCGTGCTCGGGGGAGATTGACGCAAGGGGCGGGACGAGAAGAGTCAAGGGTACGGCGGCGACAGTGGCGAGCCGGGGACGATGAGAAGGGCTTGGTAAGTATGAAAAACACCGCTCACAAAAACGGCTCTATACAGCCTTTTGCCTGTGATTAACTCCCTTGTGATTAACGTTCATGCGTCTGTTCCAAATTTTCAGAAGGTTCCACAAAGAGCAATAGGGAACCGATGTGCCCTGTAGAGGAAACTTCGGGTCTGTCGCATTCAGTGTGTACTGTATGTCCTACTGACTCCCAGAGTGTTTTGGAGAAACTCGTGAAATTAGAGCACTGAGGCCAAACTCATTTGAAAAGGGTCTCTTTTTTGACTGCCCAGAGAAGTATTTCACGTGGCAAAAATATAGCAACAAAGGGACGGCGATCGCTGAGTGCCGCCCGGCTCAGGAATGTGCCATCTTCACTGTCCTTGTTTGGTGACCCCTGCGTGACCCCCACAAGAATGCATAACCACCTCCCCCACCATCTGCAGCCAGGCTATGTGTCCCCCCCCCACATCCCGACACCCCCGTCCCACCCTGACAATCTGAGGATCGTTGCCAAGACATGTCTGTAATAAATCTACCAGCAGCCTTCACTGTCGTTTTTTTTTTTTTCTCTCTTTAACAGGGGTGACAACAGGGTGACCAGAGTCTCATCTCCATATTTATATATATGGGGTCTTATTTAAGAAGCCATTTATTTTTGTCAGCAGTCCTCTATATTTGCTGTTGCTTTATTTATGCACAGGCCTTCTGCCAGTGCACGCACACACGGGCGGGCAGGCGGGCAGACGAAGGACCATGCTGACCAGCAGGCACCCAGATCAGCTCCCGTGGGACACTCCCCCCCCCCCAAACACACACACACACACACTGCTGTTTTCCTGCATACCCAGATGCCCGACTGTTGACACCTATTTATAAAGGAACCACCTCTACCGTCATACCCCACCCTCTACCATCCTGGTCTGTAAAGTCTCTCCCTGGCTGTTACCTGGACTGTTGGCTGGGGTTTCCCACCTAAAAAGCTGTGAAAGTCGGCAGGAACGTGCTAACCGGCTTGTGGGCTGGACCGCTGTCTCCTCACAGAAACATAATCAGAAGCCTGCTGTAAGTCAGACGGACGCAAGGCATCATGGGAGATTTAACACATTCAGAACCTGCGTTCGGAGGTTAATGTAACAGAATATCAAATGCACTCACGCAACCTGCTGGAAGGGTTTAAAAACGGCTGAGGCCTCCAGGCATTATGCTGCATGGTTGATTTTGACGCCCACATTTGCTGATAAGCCGCTCGTTTGGTATAAATAATAAGCCGCAGGGTAATGATGTTATGGTGCGGCTCGGAGCTAAAATAGCTTGCGCTTGGGACAGCGCGGCGGCGCTGAGAGCACGGGAACAGGGTGGCAGGTGTGTTCACCGTGGGGAGCACGGGGGCAGGGGAGGCGGGGCCAGGAGGAGGAGGAGGGCGGGATGACGGCTGCGAGGGGGGCCCGGTGTTCCCGTCCGACAGAGACGCGGGGACGGCAGAAACATCTGGCGGCACCTTTGGGGTCGCTACTGGGCGGCAGGGGGGGGCGCTGCTGTCACGAGCAAGAGGCCCGGCGTCCTCGGGGCTGTGCGGAACGGGCACGTCAACACCCACGCCCCGCCAAGTCGCCAGCCGGGGCCTTTGGAATCAGAGCGGTCAGGGTTTATGGAGCATACTGGTATTTCTGTACTGGGAGCATCATGGTGCTGTCTTTCCCTCTGTACTGGTAAAACATGCGTCACAGGATCATGGGGCATGAGAACTTAGGTTGCAAAATTATACAGGTCGGACCAGAACGAGTAAAGAATATGTAGAACAGGGCAGGGGGTGGGCGGGTGTACTGCCCCCCACAGAGGCCAGAGGCCAACTCCCCCCCCGCCAGAAACAGACATGCCTTCTTCGGGGAGATTCAGTGTGACCGTTAGGCATGCCAGCAATGCAGGCAGAGCAGTGGAGTGTTTCACGCACACGTAACCACCCCCCCCCCACCCCCCCCCCATCTCCCCCCCCTCCACTGGTGCTATATATACACACCGCCATCACACACGTAGAATGCCGCTTGGCATGGGCCGGGCATTTACAGATCCCAGCTGAAAGGCACTGCTCCCCCTGTCAGCCACACAGGGGCGACAGAGAGATGGCAGCCATCTGAGTACCCCCCAGAGGGCAGGGGCGGGCGGGAGGGGGGTCGACTTGCCGTACACCCGAATGTGTGGAGGGAACTTCAGCGTGTGGGACAAGCGGAAGACAGGATGCCGACTCGTACTTCAGAAAAGTCGGCCACACAACTTTGTTGTTTCTCAAAGCTACCCAGTCCCTGAATCTTCGGCTGATTAATAAGGCTCCGTAAGACAAATTCCTGTCAATGATCTATGAACGTTTATGATAAATGGCCATTAATAAAGAATATACCGTGTTTGTCTACCAAAAAGATCCAGATGTCTTAATTCTGGAATTACAGTGAACAAATACAGTTTTTCCATGAACTCCAGCTTTCAGTCAGGCAGGTACCAAAACACACATGCAAGGTTAATCGGATAGTGTTGCCTCAACCTTTCCGCATGTGAAAAACTCTTTACTGCAACCCAGCCTGTGATATCGTCATACGAAGGCTATCAAACGTTAATTAGAAAAATTCTAAAAGTACGACACATACTTAAAATGGGGAAACAGGGCATTTGGCCCAGAGCGAAAACCCCAAATTCACCCAAATTCTATGTGATGTAAATACAGCATTAATTACCCACAATCCTGCAGTCTAAGCGAACAGGCTGGCACCAGGAGGCCCAGACTTTGAGGGATTTTACCAGGCTGCAAACTGCCCTCGGTGCCCCTCTCCTCTCCCCCGCGCAGATGGCCACCATACGGCGGGACAAAGACCCGGACACCCACGTGGGGGGGGGGGATGTGGACCGTAGCTCATGGAAAACCAAACCGCGAGTGGCCGTGCTTTCTGCTCCCATGTGGAATGTTTTGGTGCTTTCTGGACATTTTGCTTTTACTTTTTTTACAAATGGAATGAGATATCACAACATATTTTTTACATATTTTCTCTATAAAATGATACATATTACGATATTTTCATTCACACCAAGAACTGCAATTGTGTGGAGCGATGAGGCTAGGCAATATCATGAAAACACAGTTATCGCTATCCATAAAGACACGTATCTCCGCACCGTGAGAGGAAAGTGGAGAATCCCACATAAATACGGCGGAGCATTTATGTATATTAGGACAGCATGTGGGCAAAAACTCAACCCATATCCCTGGAGGTCACAGAGCTGCCCCACTATGTGTATGTTGTTACATTTTGGTCACATGATCTGTCACATGCTTTCACATTCCGTCTTGAAGAGGGCTGAGTGCCTCACGTCTGGGATCAGGAATCCTTGCATTATTTAAACAGGGCCAGTGCTCAGGTTGAGGGTCCCCGCAATACGTGCTTGTTTGTGTTTGTTTGTGTGATGTTGGGATCAGTCCATTTCCTCATGTCACCAAATCCTTGGCAAGATGCTAAACATCAATCAGCTCTCAAGGTCCAGGTTCGTGTCTGTGTATCCATGTTTTTTGTTCAGGAGAACTTTCCAGAGTTGCCTTCGCTATATATTCTGTGCCTGACTGAGCGACCCCACCCGCCGAAGGATGTGATACGCTAACAGCGCAAGAGCCCCCCCTGCTGCACGGGGGTGTTGACAGCCTTGTCCGACGCCTCTCTCTCCGTGGTATAGCGTGGTCACGCTGAGTGGGGGCAGCCAGGTAAACAGCTGAGTTTCAGGAGCTCTGAAGGGTGTCGGGGGGTGTTTGGGGGCACAGCAGCTGTGGCATTCCATGGCATCTGCGAGGACCGCAGCCGTCCTCTCCGTGGGAGGGATTCATCTGCCTCTCCCTGCCTCCAGTCGCTGCATGATGATTAATGGGAAAATTGCCCCCACCTCGGTCTATACTGCAAATCCGCAGCAGTTGCTGGCTTCTCCGTCCATAACAAGGGTGCTTCTTCCACATGGAGAACGTGCTCCTGGAAGCAGATGTTCACGCTTTACACGATGCGCTCAGAGGGCCTGATGGCCTTGATCCTTCCATAATTCCAAAGGGGAGCCAAGCATCCCAGAGAGGAAACCCCCACCCCCACCCCCACCCCCAGCCTCGTGCTCAATGATTGATTAGCAGAATGTCCAGGATAAACAGTTAGACGATGGGCAGATTCACCTCTTCTTGCGCAATTTTACTCTAAGTTTGATCAAAAACTCAGAACGACCACGCTCCAGCCTCCGGTTTGGGGATCTCCCCCGTCTCTGTGACGACTTGTTTTCAGCCATCCCACTCCAATAATATCGACCAAACACGAAGGAACGGAAATTTCAGTTGAGAAAACATTTATTGATTTGATTTGATTTGATTTAATTTAAGGGTACTTTGCTGTTACTAGACAACTGTGCAAGGAAGCGTCGTAGCAACCGGGCAGTGATTAGTAACACTGCTGATAATATCTGGTGGATGGATGGTGTCACTATCATTACTGGTAAGATGACACAGAAAAAAATGTTTATGGTTAATTATATTTGGTAGCATACGTAGGGAATTATATATCAAAGCTGTTTGCTGGATGTAGTAAAGAGTGAGTAGAAGTGCCACTTAATAATCTTTACTAATACTGGTGACCCGCTGACCAGTGCAGAACCTTTGGGATGTGCTGCCTTTGCCATCCGCATTTCCACGTGACCCCGCCCTGAAGAAAGCGCCGCAGCGTCCGAGGTAACGGGGCTCACGCCGCCGTGTGCCGGCACGCAGCAAGGGGGCGCCGCGCCTCAAACCAGGGCCGCCTGCCTGCCTGCTGCCATCTGCTCAGCCCCCAAGAGCCTCGCACGGGGCCCAGGTTCACTTCACACCTCGGCTGGGACCCCAGGTAATCCGTTACCCACAATCCCCAGCACCAGAGACGGCACTCAGCGACAGGGATTTGATTAGGTGTGGTGTGGGGTGGGGTGGGGATGCGGGGGGGGGGTTATTTCGACAGCAACGTCATAATTAAAAAGCACCTCTCTGGGAAACAGGCTGGATTTTAAGACATTTACATTTATAATAAATCTATGAGGTTTAGTTTGACATCAGACTAAGAATAGTTACCATTATGCTTTCTGGGAAATTCAATGAAGAGGAGATGCTGATGGCAGCTTACCAGTGTGATTGAGCAGCCATTCCAAAATCGACTAAAGACCAGTGGCAATGGTGAGAGTATGAGAAGGACGTACGCCGTTTGGTGGGACCACTAGCGACGAGGTCATGGGAAGGTCACGCCTTTGGAAAGGTTCTCCAAAATCCCTGTGCCCAACCAACAGAA